ATAGACTATGGTGCAGTTTCCTGCAGACTGGCCAACATCTTTGCCATGCCCCTACTGCTCAAAGAATGTGTCCTTAGCATCACTGCCGAGTTCGGTGCTGTAGCCTGCCTGCAGAGGTGGCGAGACGGGATACACCTGGAGAGCTCGGTTCAATGGGCCTGAGGGACAAGATCTCTAGAGTCAGACCAGCAAACACTCCTGTCCTTTGACTGCTTTCACTCAAGGAATTGCAGGGGCCAGCTCACTAATTAAGCCCACCATTGCTTTTGAAGTTTTTTTATTTTTTAAATCCACAGTTGATCAATCTGGGCTCTAAGAATATAACTGAAGAGATTATGTGAAAATGGAGTGTCTGCAGTTTGTGACTTGTAACTGACCTTTGTAAGAAGAACTTCCCCTGTGCTCCAGCACTGCTCTCGGCAGCGGCCCACTGCCTCCATGCCTGCAGTGTCTGCTCCGGAAGGAGCCAGACTTTAACTTGCCTACCGTCGTAGGCTGAGTTTGACACTGAGCCAGCATCGATGAGTGGTTCATGGGCTCACTGAGAACACGTTTTAGTTTTCCTTTACATGTATGGGTGCTTTGACTGGATATATGCCTGTGCACCACTTGCATGCCTGGTGCCTGTAGAGACTAAAAGAGGGTGTCATAACCTGGAACTGGAATTACAGATGGTTGTGAGCATTTATGTGGGTACTGGGAATGGAACGCCGTTCGTCTGAAAGAGAAGCCTGTGCTCTTAACAGCTGAGCCATCTCTCCGGCCCCAACTTTGACCTTTTTAAAGCAATAAACATATTTTTATTTTGTTTGTTTGTTTGTTTGTTATTTGTTTGCTTGCTCTTTTGTTTTTTGTTTTGTTTGCTGGGGGAAATATTTTGGTGTTTTTGTCTTTGTTTTGTTTGGTGCTTTTTTGTTTTTAAGACATGATCTTGTATATAGCCCAAGCTGGCTTGGAATTCAGCATGTAGCCCCGCTGGTCTTGTGCCTCCTTCCTCACTCACTCTCCTGCGTGCTGGCTGTAGGTGTGCACCACTGTGCCTGCCTCTGAGCATGTACTTGATTCAGTCGTCAAAATCTCTGCCTAGGCAAAGCTCTACAGTGTTTAATTAAGGAAGGATGAAAGGATAAACTAAGGAGTGACCTGGTCCAGGGAAGGTGTTCACCTAAGACCTGTGTCACCTTTGTCTCTTTCTTTCTGGGAAAACGTGAGCAACTGAATACAAAGAATTAAAAGCCCAAAATTCCTGTATGTATTCTCTTTTATACGTATTGTCCTTACACTTTGCTTTGGGGGTTCTTTTTTCTGCAGTATTTTTAGTTTCTTTTTTATCTTATAAAGCAAGTGCAAGCAGATGACATCTTTGCTGTAAAGGTGAGACAGGTAAAGTGAGAGTCCCCATTCTTTAAGATGGGCAAGGTGAAGATGGACAGCAGTAGCAGGGCTGAAGAAGGAAACATGGGAAGAAAGTGACAAGGATCAAGAATTTGATGTACATCCTGTGACAATCCACTGTTCTGACAGACTGTGACCTAAAGGCATATTCAAAACCACTGCGGGAGGCCTGGCCGTGGTGCTGTACACCTTTAAACCCAGCACTTTGGAGGCAGAGGCAGGCGGATTTCTCTGAGTTCGAGGCTAGCCTGGTCTACAAAGCGAGTTCCAGGACAGGACAGCCAGGGATACGCAGAGGAAGCCCTGTCTCAAAAGAACAAGGAAAAAAAAAAATCACTGCTGGTTTTGTGGTGGTCAGAGCATTACATTTGTTTTGAAATTTGGATGAATTGTTCAAGGAAGGCAGGAGATGTTTGTGTCTCCGAAAAAAAGTTGCATATGTCACTGGTGTCATTCATGTATAACTTTACAGTCATACCTTGTATGTGGAGAAGGAATTCATTCACAGTTACTTATGAATGGCTAAGTAATTTATAGTTAGTCTAAATAAAAAGGAAATAAAAATTACTGCCTTCCCAAGATACCACACTAAGATTTGAAAGTACATGTTATTTATGTTGATGTGTTCTCAAACTTTTATAACATATTTTAAAGCTAGCAGCCAGTCACAATATGAGATTCATTAAATTCTTGTGTTTTTTAAAGATAGTAAACAGATTGCAAGGTAAGTTAGCCAAAAGAAAACCCAACCTAACCCATAAGACTAGTAAAAATAGTGGAAACTCTGCTTGAATTGCTTGAAGCAGCAAGAACAGGACCTTTGATCTGACTAGACAGACTTGCTGGTTCCCTTGCTAATGCACATCCTTGGGCCAGCATTCAGCCCTCACGTCCATGGCTTCCGAATATGTCAAGCAGAGGTGATCATTTCCTCAGGAGCTGAGAGGAGCACCAAGTGCTGAACACCAACGCTTGCCTGGAACGCTGTGGACACTGGCAGGAGACCAGAGCAGCCTCAGGCGCCGTGTCCATGCAGTGGATGAGGGACAGATTATATTCTGCACAGGGCTAGTGCACTCATCTCTAGTTCCTTTACATTTGTAATGAATGTAGAAGAATGCTGGTTAGGAGAAAATGTAATGTCAGAGTGGTAAGGACTGTTCTATTTCTGCCTTTCCAAACTGAAGGGCTTTGTGTTGCTTTTCCTTTGCATTTTGTATTCTCACATTTGTGAACACTTATCCTCAGCTGAAATGGCTTTAAATTGCAGCCACATGTTCTCCTCTATCTTTGTGATGAGATCTTTTGCCAGATCCATTGGTCCAGGAATAGGACCTACACAGTGTAAGAAGGATATTGACAGGCCATTTGGTTTAAGGCACAGACTTGACAATGTGAAAGGCAGGCCTTTGGACTTTTGCTACTGCTTTGCACCATAGATGGTACTAACACAAAATCTACTGAGCTGCTAAAGGAGTTTTCTTCTTCTCCTCCTCTTTACTGTCCACCTCTGTGCTCCTGCTGGCAACTCATGGCCCTGAAGGCTTTCTTCCTACCCCCTATGCCAGGCCATGTCTTCTGCCCAATTCATGTTGTATGTGTGGCACATGCTCATCTCCTCACAAGTTATTTAAGGCTTTTTCTAAACCTCTCCAAGGTGGTTTGGCCATTGGACCTTTCCTACGCCTGCACAAGCAGCTGTGTTAGCCCTGCACCAACATGACTGCTACCCTTGCTGATAGTTAAGCCACATTCTGCTTCCTGGTGTTTTTGTGCCCACTAGGCTGGGCATGTTACATACCTACATTCACAGTTTGAGGGCTGTTGGCTGAAGGAATATCATCTTCATTTCAGCATGAGCTCATGAGACAGGCACACACTCCTTAGTGTTTTGTGTTCTTGTGTAGACATACCCGACATTCTTCTTGGAATCTGCAGATAGGAAAGACTTCTCAAGGGCAGGAGAGTCATAAATAAGGACCACTACTCAGTCAGTAGTACTCCTTTGCATAACTCGAAAACATGAATGAAAACCAGCACTTTACACCAATAACGGCATCTGAGTGACTCTCCTGGAGGGAAGCCTTAAAACGGTAGACTTCCACATGACTTAGGTTAACATTGTGCTTTCATTGTTCATGAGTCTAGATTGTTGAAGAAAGCTGTATATTCAGATTAAGAAATCTGGAGTATAGATAATGTATTTATTTCTTGGATTTTGTCAAAAATTAATATAGGCTTTCATTTAAATATGTATATATTTGTTGGCTGAGACTACTATGACAAAGTATTCCCATTGGACAGTTAAGCAACAGGGATGCAGAAGGGGAAGCCTGACATGAAGAGTCAACAGAGTTAGTGTCTTCTGTAGCCTTTCTCCTTGGCTTGTGGGCAGCCACCTTCTCCAAAGGTCCTCACATGGTCATTTCTCCGTTTCTGTGTCCCAATTCCCGCTCTGGGCTGGAGAGCTACCTCAGCCATTAAAGGCTAAGGCACACAACTGGCATCTCCAGAGTAGCAGTCATGTTGGATCAGGACCTGTCCTAACGACCTTTTCACTTGAATCACCTCTTTAAAGATCCCATGCCTGGAAGTTAGAACTTTCTCATGAGTTTTGTGCGAAACGTCTGCTTATGGCAGGGTGAATTTAGATAACGCATACAGGCCGGACAGTTTATTGTCTGAAGTTATGAAGACTTTTGTGGTGAGAGCAAATTCATCAGACCATGTTTGTATGTCAGGCATACAGAAAGTCATCACTGTTTGTGAAGCAGAGTTTGGTAAACTAGGTTCAGTTAATTCCAGCTACAAAAAGACCTCACCTTCCCCTTAGGAAGTATTCTGCTAAATTTAATGGGTGAAAATAGAAAGTATAAATCCATAAGAAACAGGGGAGAGGTTAAAAAATTAGTAACTATTTTCTGCAGTTAATCAGAATAAGGCCCTCCAAGTATAGCAGCTGTCCATGCATTCAAGATTATGCTAAACTTAGTAACCAGTTTACAAAAACTGTTCAAATTAAAACTGTAGCTATCCAGTCTCCTGATGAACAGACGTGGAAGAATAAGGTTAAAGGGAGGAAGCTTGTCTGAAAGACTTTAGTCTCTCTAATATTTTAAGAAGAACCAGAAAGTCACATCAGTTGAGTCTGAGCAGCTCATCTTTTGAGTAGTTGGCTCCTGTGGACGGTAAACTGAAAACTGAGAAGAGTCATGAAGCATGTCCCAGGGCCTGGGTCCTAGAGGCAGGACTCTGGGTGGGAGAAGAGTCACTCACCTCTTGGTCCAGTGAGAGCTGGCGGTTAGGTTTCCGTGTCTCAGGCAGTTACTGGGGTCACAGGCAGATGGGTATTGGGGCAAGGTGTAGAACTGATAGATTGCAGGGTCCGATGGGGGATTTGGTGGCAGGGGGAGGGGGGGGAGGGTGCTTCCTGCAGGAGTTTTCCCTGCTGGCTGGCAACTGGGGCCTAACATTGTGCTATTTCTTAAACCAAATAATCAGGAATTAATTTTTCATAAAGTTTAGACAGCCTGAATGTTTGAATTTTGTATCTACAACTAAAGAATATGTCTCTCTTTTTTTCCTTCACTCCTTTGTCAATGTAGCTCATGTTTTTTGGAATCTTCCTGTGCCTCGATGCCTTTCTGTATGTGTTCACCCTGCTTCCTTTAAGAGTCTTCCTGGCGCTGTTCAGGCTCTTCACTCTGCCTTGCTATGGCCTACGGTAAGTTTAGCTCTTTACAATTTTTAGTGTGCAAACAATTTCTTTACTTTTAGAACTTGTAGGGTTGTTAGAATAAAGATGACTCATATAGTTTCATTCACAGGTCTTTAAACACTGCTTATCTATTCAATTTATATTATATAATATTATATATATGTCTTCTTTTCCAGAGATTTTGAACTAGAACTGCTTTAGCCAGTAAACTGACACTAAGGTGGAGGGCTGTGTGGGGGAGCAGAAGAGAAACGGGACTACAAGTAGAGACTGACTGGCCCTGTTCTTAACCCCCCCCCCCCGAATGGGGGTTAGGAGGCCTCCTGGGCTTCATCAGAGAAAGGTCCAGGTTCTAGTCTGGGGAGGTGGCTATCAGAATCCCCTAAGGAGCCCTTACTGCAGGCTTCCTCCTCTAGTTCACTTGAGAATTACTGTGTTAGTGCCCTTTGAATCCTTAGTCACAGACTTTGGGTTGATGGCAGTAGAGAACTCTATGATGCCATCACTCGGATAGGAAAGACAAGGCAGCCCAAACCAACTTGGATCGCTAGTGGGTTATGGTGAGTGCCTGCCTCCGCTAAGGTTGTTAACCAACTGTCCAAAGAGGATATTGAGAGCTCAGTACCTGCCCCCAGAAACCTGGAGATAGAGAAAGCATGCCGGCAGAGGGCCTGCCTACAGCATCCAGGAGTAAATGCCAGTTTCTTTCACTTCTGCTCCACCAAACAGAAAGGTGGACTGTTGAGCCTGTGTGAAGCTTGGGTGCTTTTGTTCTTCAGGAGAGTAGGAATTTTGGTTTTGCAGTTTTCCTTCTTGACAGCCGAACAGCATGCCTCCACTCTACTGTGAGGTCATCCTTTATAAATCACTGCTTAGCTTTAGCAGAGTCTACCAAGTGTCACCTTTGTAACTTTAAAAATATTCTCTTTCAGTTTGAAATTTTAAAATGCTGAAATGGACAATGATTTGTGAAACTCCATTTAATTATAGTGAATGTTTAATGGAGCACAATACTTGGGATTACAATTTAGCCACCAAAGTTGAGTTAAGAAATTACTAGTACATAGTCAAAATAGTAACTTTTGTTTAAAAGACTAAGTCACAAAGAAGTTTCTTTTGAAGTAGAAAATGAGCTTATACTTAATAATAATAATAATAAATATAGTCCTTTTGAATGATCCTTAATCCATTTTGATAAGGAAGAAATGCTTCTAATGTAAATAGAAATAATATAATGATCAGGTTGTGAAAGGAATAGAAATTACTCTTAGCAAGGTTGCAGAGAATAAAACCATTGTAAGAGTTCAGCTTACCTCAGTGCTATAGAAGTTATTATTTTGTGTCTATAATCTTTCTCATCTTCCAGAATGATATGAATTATGTCACACGCTTTATTAGCCATAAGTTAACTTGATGAGATCGTCTTAGGAGTTTAAGAACCAGTTTAGGATCTATCAAGTATTTCCTTTTACTTGGAGGAGAGTTTTCAAGGATGCTTATTCTCATTAGTAAGCCTTTGAAGACCTTTGTGGCACGGTCTTTACTGTTCACAGCCTCACCTTCGTTTGCTGGTTTCTCTATTGAGAGCTTGATGAGATCATGGCATATTAGTTACCTTTTCCGAAGCAAAAAAAAAAAAAAAATCTATAAAATGCTACCAATTGCAAATCTTCATGTATGGCTGAATAAAGAGGGTGAATACAGGGAAATTAGATTAATCCAATGCAACAACCTGACATAAAATAACTTGCAGGTGTTTTCCATGGACTTTGTGAGTGAGATTACTTCTTATTTATTCCTTGATCAGCAGTGTTAAACATGTTCATATTCTACCCATGGCATGTTCTGGTCAGCTGTTGGCACACTTAGGTGACACATTAAAAGGGTTTATAACCTAGCAACTCTTTCTTCTGGATTGGTTCCTCCCTTTCTATGTGGGTAGCACATGGGTGACATAAGTACACTGCCTGATAATGGCATGTCAGTGTTCTCAAGAGTCTCTCGAGGGTGAAACTCATCTTATTTGAAGACATACCTTGTTCTTCAGGCATCTAACACTGTTTTCTGCTCAAAGTCATTTCTGTGTTTCTCTGGCAGTTGGGTAAGCAGGACATGTAAGTAGCATCTAGCATAACCTTTCCATTCTGAATATTAAGAGGTGATGTAGCAAATAGGAATTCTTAAATCATCTACTCGAGTTTGTTTCACATAAATGATTGGTGCTTCCTATAGTCAGCCTTTTTATAGTAGTGTAAGTTTTTTGGCACATAATGATAGCTTTAAAATTTAGTTTGAAGCATTTTTCAGCCTAAATTAACTTGAGTCACATTTAAAAAGTACTTTCTCTTTCTGTGGTTTTATAGCTAAGAGAACTGTAGGGGGCAGCCTATTATAAACAATTTCTAATACTCTGTCTGCAGTATAGGTTAACTGAAGAGTTACATTTCATGCTATCACTCATATTTATATGATAAATGATACACAAGAATACAGTTAAAATTGTGTAGCAGAATTTCAACCATCTTGAAACTTCTATATGAGCAGGCAAGATCACAGAAAATATGAAGAAGTACTGCTTTAAATATCTTAGTACCTTCAATATTTTATATATGAGTTAAACAATGTGTGTTTAGAGTAGTGTGAGCCACAGTTTATTTTCTCTGAACAGTGAAAATAATGTCTCTGTTAATTTTTTTAAAGCATGGAACTGAAAACATATTATACTGTGAAAAGTGACTCTGAACAAAACTATCATTAATATTATGCCTATGACCTTTCAAGTATTCCTGGAATACCCAAATACATTTTATTTTTACAGAATTATTTAGAAATAGCCAAATTTTTCTATCTTGCAGCCTCCCTTCCAATATCTGTACTTCTTTTAAAGATTATTTCATTTGTTTTGCCTATAGCTGTCTCATGTTCCATCTTTTTCAGCAAACAAAAAGTGCTCTTTCCTTCAGTCTGACTGGAAACCTACAGAGACGTTGATTGGATGCTTTTTCACAGCTGTTAATCATTCTCATCTCTTCCGTTTCGATATTTTGTCAAAAAATATCTTCCTAGTCTCTTTGTTAATTTTTTTCTAAAAATAGAAGAAAGCTGTGTTTGTTAATTAAATCCCAACATGGCAAGAGTAGTCTATAGCAGGACGATGTCTTTTGACATTGCTACCTTGAGTGAGTGTTTCCTCCTCTTCTGCCTGTAGTTCTCTCTGGTCAGCATCTGTGAGAGACTTTAAAGCAAAGGATGCCCTCACCCAGAGTTTCTGCTTTCAGCCTATTTCTAGATCTTCTGCTATCTTGATGTGGTTTTTGACTTTGGTTTGAGGTTTGGGTTTTTGTTGCCACTGGTTAACAATTGAGTGAACAGAGGCTTTGCCTTTAACAAGGGGTGAGAACCAGGAAGATTTTGTAGCCTGTTCAGTAACTCAGCCTTCCTTTTGACTGTTTTGCCAACTCTCAACCAGTTAAAATTGTGTTCATTGGGGGATGTTGTTGGGGTGTTATTGTGAGTCTACGGTGGGGTGTGCTGCTTATAAAGGATGCTGCACTGCTCCTGTGGAAAGTTTATACCACTTCTCAGTGATCTTAGAAAGACTTGGTTGAATCTGTTTCTGATGAATTAACAGTCTTAACCCCTGCTACCCAGTGTTGAATGAGAGACAGAGAGATGCATCTGGGGTCATGAGAAGCAAGTTTTCTCCTTTCCTAGATAGGATAAGATAGCTTCAGTTTAGAGATTAGGATGATGTGTGTTTTCAATGACTGAAGACATAGAAACAGAATTGGGTTAGGATACATTATGTGAGTTTTCTGGGCTTATCAAATACTGTCTTTCTAAGTTTAACATATTCCAAGTTTGTGAAATATGTTAAAAATACCAAATATATGTATAATTTATGGAGTATCTGTGGGAATACTGTCTCTTCCTAAAATTTCCATTATATTGTGCTTTAGAATTGTGTCACACTAAGTTACATGTTGAATGAGATTGCAGAGGAAAATGGTCAAATCTAGAGCCCAGACCTGACAGCCCAGAGCTGACAGCTATTAGTAAAGGAAGCTCTGCAGAACGTTATACAGGGATAAATGAGTTGACTAGATTTAAGAATATGAGGGTGTTTTTCTTTTACAATTAGAGTAAATAAAATTCAGGCAAACAAATTTTCTGATCCCTTGTCTTTGTTTTAGACATGACTCTTATTGAAGGCTTCATTGACTTCTTTTTTTCTTCTTTTAGGAAAGGAGAGTATCTTTTCTTTTGAGAGTTTACCCCATAGGAGAGTTCTTATCTCCCAAAAGAACTATGGATTTCAAATTCTTGAGTTTCTTCACCTGTTGGCTTTCCTCTATGTGCCTTACCTCATTCAACATAGTTATTCTCAAAATAACATTATATGTGCACAATAAATAGGCTTTTCTCTTTCCATACAAAATTAAGCCTTTACTCTGGCCTGAGTAACTAATGCCACCACAAGAGCATGTATGGATAGCTCTTGGTATCTTTGTTGGGGAAACAAGTACGTCCATTATTCCCTCTTACCAGGGCTGATGGTGTGGTTCACCAGTGGAGAGCAGTGTACTGTTACAAGAAAGCTTTCATAGCATCAGGTTTTGTCGCCCCATGTTCTTCAGCATGACGCTCTAAGTAGCGTAGCAACATTACAACCTCTCTCTTTCTTTCTCTCTTGTAAATCAGACCGAAGGGAGGAGCACTTTCACTTCCTTTATAGGATGGAGTGTGGTGGCACAGGGACTCCTTGTGGTGAGTAAACCCTGATTTTCCTTCTATACTCTTGGCCAAATTAATCTCCGCACAAAAGCAAAAGCACCAGCATAGGCCACAGAACCATTTGAGGATGGAAGCACTGAGGGAATGTGATTCCCTAACTTCAGGAGCGTCCTCACTGGGTCTTAAGTTTTATCCACACATCCTCACAGTGTTTGACCACACTGTCATCCATGAAAATCACCTGTGACGTATCTCTAATGACTCTGTGGGTCTCTGTGGCAGTAAACACCTCAGTCCTTGCCCCAGGGCTCAGCCCAGCCGCTTGTTCCTAGAAGCACCCTTTTATTTTGTGTTGTTCCAAACAAACAGCTTCATAAATCAGCCACTTCATTCTAATATAATTAATTCAAGGTACAAGAAAAGATGTTAGTCATCAAGTATAAAATGCTAAGAGATTATTTTTTTGCTGTGTGTCAGTCAAACTTCAAAAATATTCAGTTTCCAAGGTCAGGAGAGCATCTTGATCTTAGTACTTTATTCTAGTTTACTTTAAGATTATAAAGGGACTTCTCTTTTAAAAAATGTGAGCCACATGAAATACATAGTGTTTTAAATCTCAATAGTACTTGTCCTTCTCCCCCTTCAGTTACACACGTGTTTTACAGTGAAGTGAGTCATGCCAACACCTGGCCTGTGTCCATGGTGAAATGAACTGGGCAGCACGGCTCCGGGGGCTGGGTTTATGATTGCCTCTTCCTTCTTGATCTTGCTGGTACCAGTTTCACTTTCACAGCAGATATCAAGGGTGAGGATGCCTCCCAGTGAGCATCATACTCTGCCATATAATTCTACTTCCATGGATCTATGAGACTTTAAACAGCTCCGAGATGTAAAATGTATTACATGAAATTGTTATTTGTAGTAACTGCAAAAGTATAGTGGAATTATTTGTAGGAATTAAAAGGTGAAATTTCAGAATGCAGGGAATCTACTTTCTGTATAGGTGTTTTAACTTGAATATCTTTTAAATTGTGTTAAATATTTTTATTTTAATTTCTATTGTGTATCTTATTTAATCTTGTCATGCCATGACATGTAATCAAACTATTATTCAAAGCTAAATTAGATTAGTGTGATTTTTTTTTGTTTTGTTTTGTTTTTTTACTTTGTGCAGCATGCTCTTGAGATTTCCAGCATTTGCTAAAGGAACTGCCCATAACTGCTCTTTAACAGCCATCGTAACTGGATCGTCAGCCTGAAAGATTCAGATGCCCGTTCCAGATTGATTGGCAGCATTATAGATAAGCTTCTTATGGAGTTTGTAATGCTTACTGATAGTTGTCTAAAAATATACTGGTAGAGAGGAGCAAATGCTGTGATTGGTTCAAGTTGTTTTAATTAGATAAACTCATTTGTGAGGTTAGATCTTGGAGAAGCTGTCATGCATACAGGCATCTTTTAAGATGCTACTTGAGGAGTGGTTTGTTTTGTTTTTGCTACTTTCCTTTTTTATTAACAGGCACATGTGGAAAGAAGATCCTTGTTTACAGGGACTGAGAAACAAGTTTTATGTTGTGTTTGAATAGCAGTCCTTAATTTTGAAAACCTGTAATCACCAGAGCAGCCAGTTAAGTTAGCAGTGGAAGATTTCCCCAGAGCAGGCAGTGACAGATAGCTGAGGAACCAGTGCAGTGTCTTTTGTCCTGTTTTCTTTTTATTGTGTATTTTATAAATTAATAAAATGAGAGATATGTTTGTTTCTTAACACGATAACTGTTCCAAATGATAAATTATATAATTTAAGTTTACTAACAAGTTGGAATGAATTGCTGATTTGTATCAGTTTGCAGGATCATTTTTAAAGTTTCAAAAGTCTGTGGTTGTTAAGAGCCATGCCTGCATTGATGCCTCTCAATATGTTCCCTGGCCGTCAGTGGGGCAACAACCACCCATAGGCCAGGAAGGCAGGACTATTCATCATGTCTCCTCTTGATATTTGAAATAGAAATGTGTTTGCTCTTGACAGAAGAATCACTGCTCCCAGTCCTAGCCTTGTATGGAGTGGGGCATGAAATCTCCTGGATTATCAGTTAGTCCTTGGCAGAGAACTGTGCTCTAAGTTGGGTATGTGGGAAGCTGAAGATAAAATATACCCTGCTTCCCATGAGAATGAGGCCACAATCTTTGTAGGAGGGGAGATCAGCATTGGAGAAAGGAAAGTTGGGATAGAAGTAATGGTGGTGATTGTGTGCTCGGTGTATTTCTGCCCAGAGCTCTAACCTGAGCTGCAAAGAAAAATCAGTCAGAATTCTACATCTGTTGGAGGACCTGTGATCTGACTAACAAAGCCAGGTCTGTCTCCATGTAGGATCACTAGAATGTCTTCCCATCTACTTAGAACCCTTCCTGGATATGTCTGTTTCATACCTGCAGTGTCCCATATTGTATGCAAACTTACTGGTAACCCATGGAAATGCAGTCCTGTGACAGCTGCTTTCAGAGCCAGTACTTCATCCTAGTTATAGAAACAGTTTAAGAGACTTGCGTGTTCTTTTGGAAAAGCCCTGCTCATATGGGCAGGCTGAGAAGAGCTGAACAGAATAGATGGCCAAGAAACTCCCAAGAGGTCTGGTGTGTGGCTCAGAGGTCAGGGGCCCAGTAGCAAATGAGTTCAGCTCACACTGTTGCTTAGAGTCGTCACTGCTGGTGAAGATGAAGAGGCCACAGCTCCTAAAGCAAGCACTTGGTCCTTACAGTTGAGTGTGCTGCAGGTAAAATCTGCCCAAACAGAAGTCTGAACCTTGATCCAGAGGAGTAAGCCTGCAGCAGACTCAGATGTATTCATTCTTGTCATAAAAATGTTAGGTCCAGTAAAGGGGAATCCTAAATTTCTTTCCTGTTTGTTTTCTCCATCTTGTTGTTCCTTCCTTAATTTAGGCTTAATTTTTAAGATCTGGTCTCAGAAGGAAGAATCGACTCATTTTTTATTTATGAAAAATTCAAGTCATCTTACAAAGAACTAACTTCTACAGTAAAAGATTGTCCTTCAAACTAGTACAAAAAAGGAGGAGGGGGAGAGAAAGAAGAAAAGAAGATGAGGAAAGGATTCACTGGAAATTTAAATAAATCTTAAATATATAAATGAGTCATTCAGAGCAAGACCTGATAGCATAGACCTATAATCCAAGCTGTTTAGGAGACCAGGGCAGGAAGATTGCAAGTTCAAGGCCTTCCAGGGCACCTTAATGAGACTTGTCTCAAAATATTGTTTAAGATTATTTTAAATGGAGGTATGGTTCAGTGGCAGAGCACTTCGTTAGCATGAGCAAGGTTTGATCTTCACCCGGTACCAACTCTACTCCTGAGGTAAAGTAACACTGAAACTATATTGGGTTCTGTTTTTCACCAGGGCAACTGGCAAAAATTCAGAAATTGGTCATGAGTTGTTTTGGAGCTCATAGACCACAGGCTTCTCAATATGCTGCTAGCAGAAGTGTAAATTGACACAACCCTACAGAGGCCACATTGACTGTCTCTCTCCAAAATATCAAGTGATATAACTATACACCTAAAATTTTAGGATTTATAAAGCAGATACATTTTTACTTAGGAGACATGTACATTGTGCCAGCTTGTAGTTGAAAAAGAGTAGAAATTTGTCAAGAATGGGCTGGAAAAATTATAGGATGTGTTCAGGGAGGCGCCTACATTATGGTAAAGATATGAGGTCCTTCGAACCACTGTGAACAATCCGGAGCTAGCTAGGCATGGCTGTAATCCCAGCACTGGCCTCAGACTCTCTGTGTAGCCAGCCAGGGCTGTTGCTGACTACAGTGGACAAGGTGCAGATTGGTTTGCACAAAACACCCATTGGACTGTGCAGGCTGATCCAGCGGTCACAAGTACGGTGAGGTTGCCTCCCCCGGAGAGCTGCTGCTTTAAAGTACCAGCAGCAGCAGGTGCCTGCCCGCTCTCTTCAGTCCTCATCCACTTCTAGTTTAACATCTTTATATTGTGCATGCAGCACAAAGTGTCCTACTCCACAGTCTTCTGGGTGACCATCTTTGTTAAGATTTATAACGTCAGCTGATTTTCACTGTGACCTTGGGATGCTGTTGTTTGTCCAGTAAAGATGACTTGCTTTGAGAACACCAAGAGTAAAAGCCCTGTTTCCATTGTGTGTTTCAGGGACAGACGTTTGCTTCAGCCTGCACAGGTGTGTGACATTTTGAAGGGTGTCATTTTGATAATCTGCTATTTTATGATGCACTATGTTGACTACTCCATGATGTACCACCTGATAAGAGGGCAGTCTGTCATCAAGCTCTATATCATCTACAACATGCTAGAGGTAAGGCCACTTGCTCCTGCATGCTCGCTCTGGTCCTGCTGCCTGCAGACTGGCCAGTCCTCAAGACGTCAAGTCTAACAGTATAGAGGAAGTGGGCAAAGAAGGTTTGCTGTAGCTTCTGGGAAAGGGGCGTCATTCACTGGAGGATCTTGGGACAGTGCAGATTTAGTGGGCTTTGGGAGCTAAGCTTTTATTGAGGTGACGCCTGAACCACTGGTCCTGGATCATGCTTGAAGGGAGCAGCTCCTCAAAGATAGGCGTTTCCTCCAATTAGAGGAAAGCTTCCCACTGCCTGCACAGTTTTGAGAACATACACTATCAAATTGCAAATCTATTGCAAACCCACTTACCTATTGGTTTTTTGTTTCTTATAAGAACTTTAAAGAGTCTGAGTGACTGTTAATTATGTTCTTGCTTTACTAAACATAAATTGTTTTGAACTTTTTATTTCAAGTTTCCCAATTTTTTAAAGTTTTTGTTTTGTTTTGGTTTTTGTTTGTTTGTTTTTGTTTTTTACAAATGGCTAATTTGACTAAGCCAATTGTGATTCCACATATGTATGGAGTACTCAGCATAAGCCAGGAGTAAGTGGAGGAAGTTATAAGCTTTGCTCCTCTTCAGCTTCCCTTCCAGAATCGTAAAATCAGGTTCAATATTTGCTTTTCATCTGGTGGCTGGTGAAATACTTAACTGAGCAGTTAGGAAACGGGTCTGCTATTTCCCTCTGCAGGTAGCCGATCGTCTGTTCTCTTCATTTGGACAAGATATCTTAGATGCTCTCTACTGGACAGCCACCGAGCCTAAAGAAAGAAAAAGAGCACACATCGGAGTCATCCCTCACTTTTTTATGGCTGTTCTCTATGTCTGTATCCTTGTAGACGTGAACATTCCAGCCACCAGTGTGATTCTACCCTATTTTATTTGTTTACCTGTCCCTGCATGAAATGCTGTATGTGTGTAGATTAAAATGAAATCCCTGGTTTCTTTTGAAAAATTGGTTTTAATATCCATTGTAAATTAGTTTAAGGCCTTCTGGATGCACAACTACTTTTCCTTGTGATTGACTGATTATAAGGAAACGTTGATGTCTGCCTGTAGTTAATATTCATAGCTGTGTGACTCTCAAGTTTTTTTTTCAGGTTGTAATTTGCATGATACAGTTTTGGAGATTGTGTTTGTGTGTCTGTGTGCACATATGTTTCTCTTGCTTCAAGTTTTTCTTTTGGAGAACAAGTACTTTCTAATGTATGTGTGTGTGTGTGTGTGCCTGTGCATGTGTGCATACTTGTGTTTACACTCACATAGGTTTACATACATGTGCATATCTATGAAAGCAGGACACATTCACAGGACTCTGTCATATCTTTTCCTTACTGTCACTGATACATTGAAGAAATTAATACTTGGGAACAAAGTGGGACAGAGCTTGCTCCCATTTTAGTGGAACAAAGGTGAATTATTCTGTGGGCAATAGGATATAATTCTGCATGACGTGAAGAACAGCCTGAGACATTTCTTACCATTTTAATCTTCTCTATCACTTGAGTAACCAAAGAAAAGCAACTCTATACTAACTTTGGTGTTCACTTTTAAAACTTTGAATTATCATAATGCAGAATGTGTGTATCTTACTCTTTCCTCTCATCATTCACCATAATTTCTTCAATTTATTCAGCACCTTTTTGAGGGCTTAATTCTTAAGCATTGTGCTAGGTGCCAGGGGTTCAGTTCTAAATAATGGATGTACAGATTTCCCTCTGCTTCTGCTTGTTTCCTGTGGTGTCCATATGTCTTACCAAATCTATATCAAATAGATAATAGGAAAATTGTGACAATAAGAAAATATTTGTCAGTCAGATTTGATCTAGAAAAATGAGATCATTTCTCCCATTTTTGATATTGTGTTAATAATTTTCTGAAAACAAGTTTTTTCCTTGACTTACTCTTAGTTCTACATGCAATTCTCATAATGGTTCAAGCAACGACTCTCAATGTGGCTTTTAACTCTCACAACAAGTCGCTGCTTACCATCATGATGTCCAACAATGTAAGTGCAAAATTGTACTTTGTATTGTTAGTTTAGGAAGGGCGGTCACACTAATATTGTGCATGTAAAAAGAGTCTTTGTTTCCTCTTATCCTAAGAAGCTTTTTGTGGAGAGATTGATTTTTACAACTGTTAAAGTGACGAAGATGGTATTTCTGTTGCTCTTTCAGTTTGTTGAAATTAAAGGAAGTGTTTTCAAGAAGTTTGAAAAGAACAATCTCTTTCAGATGTCAAATAGTGGTAAGTAGTCAGATTCTGATTGTAGCTCTAATTAGCATTCATTGAAGGTGACTCATTACCATAAACAAATGTTGAATAACATCTTAATGAGAAGTAGTTGTATTTTAAAACATTTTTTAAAGGCTTAAAAATTGTGTTTTCTAAAACAGATCAGTATTTACTGAGGTATTTTTCACCTAGTAGTGGTAACATCTGGATAAATATTAAATGAAAGAACATTGACCCCATCCTCCTCCAAAAAAGTTAATTCAAAACTGTTTGTTGCCATTAGCATAAGTGCTACATCTTAAAATTTCTAAAATAAAATATAGGAGACTATATCCACAAGTTTTGTATAGGGGAACATTTTTAGAGACTACACAAAAAAATTACTAACCATAAGGACAATATATAAGTTGAATTTCAGAATTAAAAAAATGTATATATGCTGATTAAAAATGAAAAGGCTGGGACTGGAGAGATGGCTCACACAGCTTAAGAGCATTGGCTGCTCTCTGAGAAGACCTGTGTCTATAACTCCAGCCCCAGAAGATCCAACGCCCCTTCTGGTCTCCATGGGTACTGCAAGTATCTGGAGCACAGACATACTTGCAGGTAAAACACTCATACACACAAAATGAAAATGAAGGAAAAGCATTTTTAAAAAATGAAAAGGCAGAGCAGAGTTATGTTAAAAGAAAAAAGTTGAGGTTATATATGTATCTGAAAAAGGACTTTATCATCCCTGATTATGTGTTGCAAATTCTGCCAATTAATTATAAAAGAGTGATCTGATTTAGAATAGCAAAAGACTTGGATCTAGAAAATGGAAATATAAATGGCCAGTACGTTCACACGCAGGTGCCTCGGATCATTAGGGAAAGTATCACTAGGGAAATACAAAGGAAAATCAAATGAGACATCACTGCATGGCCACCAGAATGCTCTTGTAGCCTGACAATGCCAAACTTGGGAAGATAGGGACTAACTACCTCTCTGTGCTTTGGTGGTGAGTTTGACTATGAACATTGCAACTACTCTGGAAAGCTTTGGGGTAGCCTCTTTTTTGGCGTTCACTACCCTGTAATTCAGCACTGGGAGTTACTGTGGCAGCTCTACTCAGAGTAGCCCCGAAGTGGAGACAACCCAGGATGAACAGGAACATAAATAAATGGTTGTACGTATAAGCCATGTAATACTGCTCAGCAAATAAAGGAAAACGGAGGCTGGGGAAGTAGCCTGGTTGCTAAAGTGCTTTGCCGCCCAAGCCTGAATACCCAGCTTTATTGTGAAAACACATATAAAACTGGGTGTGGTGGCACACACCTCCCCGAGGCTGCTAGCAGCCAACCTGACCTACTCAGTGACCCCCAGCACAATGAAAGTCCTGTCAAAAGAGAGGTGTATGGATCCTGAGGAACAACACTTCTTGCCTCCCCATACACTGTCCAGACATCAACACATTCACACAACACCAAACAAGGTAAAATGAAGGGGAAAAATGAATTAGTGATCTATCCTGCTGTGTACATCACAGAAACAAACACCAGCCTCAGAAAGTATGATTGAATTTCGTTTGTCTGAGGTCTGCGATCAGACAGAATTAATTTATGATGACAGAAAGGAGAGTGGTTACTTGTTGGGAATGGAACATAACTGGAGAAAGGGTCAGAGAAACTTTGTTGATGGTAGAACTCTTCCATTTCTAGTTAAAATGGCACCAGACATTACCAACCTATGTACTCGAGATCTGTGCATTTCATTGTATGGAAATTCATGACAAAAATGATGATGCATGAATAAATTAAAGCAAACGGTTTAGAATTGTAGATTTGAGAACTTTTCAAGGAATAAGAAGAACAAATGGAAAATGAATAAGGTCTAGGCAGTTCTGTGAGGCTGTCCATGATGGATCTGAAAGCTCTGAGCCACAGCATCATTTATATGAGATTTTGCTTTACTATGAAAAAAACTTTTTAAAGATTTGAGTTATGTTTTAGTAAAGCTCACAGTTTAAGTAAGTAAATAAAGTCTTGGCTTCAAGATGTATGTAAAACATTAAAATGTAAAAAAAGTAGAAAGTACCAGAATAAAACTTCATTTTAATATTCCATAGTTTCATTTACATACTTACGTTGGTAGATTTTTGTAATAAAAATTTTTATCTTGTCAACTTTACATAATATTAAAATCTCCATTTTTCATATTATAAACTTGTATTTATCCGTCAAATGGTTGGTTTTTATTCATTTTCTCATAGTTTGAATCACCTGTTTTCTGAACTGTTTTCTTCAAGAGCCCCTGAAGAGAGTTTTCCGCTCCCCTAGGTGCTCTCGCAGCTGAAATGGCTATGGGGGTTGTGTGTCGCAGCTTCTATGGGCGAGAGTGGATACAAGCCTAAATACTGGTCTTGCTCAGGCTCCATTTGCTCAGAAGCCTGCTTGGCTTGCTTCAAATGATATGCTCAGTTTCCTTCCAGATAATTGGGTTAAGAACCAAGTTTGTCTTATACAGCCATTCTTAGTGGGACAGTTAAAATGAGTACATTGCTTTGTTAACTTTGTTAGTGAAAGTTAGAAAGAATTTAACATACATACAGAGACAGATCTGTGAATAACTGTATAGAATTCCAGTTAAAGGTCCATTAAGAAAAGCACCCCCATGAATTCAGATCCACCTCTAAGGAAGCACAGAGAGTATTTCCTCTCTTTGAACTGATTTGGCTAGGAATTATGCTAGGACAGACTTTAAATTGCATCCCCTTTGAAATCATCCGAAAGAGTATGCACTGTGTTGTGAGCTTGTCAGAATGAGCACTTGAAAACCCCGCATATGCTTTTCCAGTTCTGTCATGCATTTCACAGGGGGTATATCTGTACTCTGAACCTCAAAATTCATTGCTATCTATACCTTGCAACTGGTATTGTTTAAGAATTCACACTCTGGTTTCATGGATTGCACAGCATGTGTGTCCACTGAGCTCAAGGGTTAAAGGTACAGTTCAGACCCACAAGTGAGAAGCTTGGTGACTCTGGAACAAAGGTACTGGCTCTAACTGGAAGAGTTTAAGAATTTGGGGAAGGCACAGACAGTAAAGGTAGCTCACCTGAGAGGATTTGCAATGGAGGGAAATCCAGTTGTGGTGTGGAGCAACAACAGTGGGGAATGGAAAAAAAGAATGGTCGGTCCCACAGAGGACAGTGAGGTGACGTGGTGGTGCAGGGTTCTGATCAGGCAGTGTCACAGTCAGGTGGGATGGAAGCTGTGCTACGTGAGTGACAGTTTCTAGCCACAGCTTCCAGGCTTACACAGACACACGCATATGGTACACTCTCATTGTCACAGGTACTTTTTTCTTGACTATGTGGTATCTTGGGCTCCTAAGAAGAAAACAGCTGAAAAAAATTAAATATATAAATTGTCTCTGACAAGAAGTCAGTTCTTTATTTTCATTAAATTCATTCCAATTAATCAGCCAGTTATTAACTTAGGGCAAACACCACTGTGAAACCTAATTCTTTATAAACACACACACAAAAGAAATCCCCTGGCTACCACCAAGCAATGCTATTACAATGCAAGTATTCTCTTAAGAAAGAAATTACATACACATTTGTTACCAGGTTAGATATTTCCTGGAAGCACACAAGTTTATTTTACCCAAAGTCTTGTATTTTATTCTATGATTCTATTTTATTTTTATTCTTCTATAAAAATGAAAACACTTGTCATATATTCCCAAAGACTGTTGGAGGCATTTAATGACCCAGTTTGAACATTTTAATTTTTTTAAATCCCATACTGGTAATATGTTGGAAACAAAGTAATGGCTTGCACGCATGGGTATATGTGCACACGCATGCACGCACACATGCACACACACGTGCATGCGCGCGCGCGCGCACACACACACACACACAATTAGCTGTGAGTCCTCCATGGCTGTAGGAAATATTCTAAACGAAAGTCACATCCTCATTGAACATGTGAAGACTTTCCTTGTCACCACTCCCTACATAATGCATCATAACAACTATGTACATTGTATTTGATACAACTTAAGATACAAAGATGACTTGGAGCATATGACAGAAGGTGATAGGTTATGTACAGGTAGATAGTGCAATGTTTGGTATGAGGGACCTGAGCACTGTGAATTTTGGTATCTAAAAAGGAACCCCATGGGTTCCAAAAATCACTATTTTTTTTACAGATGTTTTAATAGAATTATTTAATTATTTCCCTATTTAATACATTTTAGCACTTAATGTTCAACTCTCTCTCTTTTTTTTAAGATATTAAGGAACGATTCACAAATTATGTGCTTTTGCTAATAGTGTGCTTAAGAAACATGGAACAGTTTTCTTGGAATCCAGGTAAGTGCCTCTTGGATCAAATATGGTGTCCTTTAAATTTACTCTTTTTTTGTTTTTGTTTTTGTTGTTGTTTTTTATTTTTTGAGACAGTTTGGAACTGGCTCGTAGACCAGGCTAACCTTGAACTCACAGAGATCCACTTGTCTCTGCCTCCCAAGTGCTGGGATTAAAGGCGTGTGCCACCACTGCCTGGCTAATTTTACTCTTAAGACAAATCAAGGCTGGGTAGTGGTGCCACGTGCCTTTAATCCCAGTACTTGGGACACAGAGGCAGGCAGATCTCCGAGTTTGAGGCCAGCCTGGTCTACAGAGCAAGTTCTAGGACAGCAGGACTACACAGAGAAACCATATCTTTTTTAGTTTTCAAAAAACTTAAAAAAAAAAATCATTCTTTCACATGAAGTAAAGTCAGTGCTGAAGTGCCTGTCTGTACTGATGTTTGTGTATTTGAAATGGCTCTTCCAGGGGAATGGATGTTTCATACTCTATGGAGTTGGATGCTGTCATTTCTCATAAGACCTGTGTCTCTGCAGATGTTCATGTGGCTAAGCATACTCCAAGTGCAGCAGCTCAGGGCCCTCTTGGAGCTGTAGCTATTGTGGTTACTCTGGGTCCCATTAGGTTAGAGCCTTCGCTCTTCCTCACATTTACCTTTTTTTTTTTTTTAGTGAGGGTGAATTTTAGAAATAGATTAAAGTCAATAAATTGTGTTGCTTATATTCATTCCTGAATCTGGCTGACAAGAGGTTGTCAGAATTCCACAAATGTTCACCTGTTCAGTTAGCAGCCAGGCACTGCTATGCCCCGTCCCAGGCAAATGGCTCAGCCCAGGACAGCTGTAAAAGTGCTGAGGAGTTCACAGGCCTCGCAGGCTGATGGGGTAGGAGGTGACTGCAGCACAGAACTTGTTCCGATAGCTCAGGTCATTTGCAGGCTTTTTTTCTTAATGTACAGTTCGTTCCTAATGGAACAGACAATGTTTCATAGTTCTTGTGTGACTTCCAACATTGTGGATGTCCTAAGCATTTGAAGCCTCTTGCTACCTTGACTTGTGGCTTGTTTTCAGGGATATTTGAAGAATTAGAACCACACATAAAGTGATATTGAGTTTGGAAATACATTTCCAGGGGTTACTTTCTTACAGAACCTGTATGGTCAAATTGTAGATCTTAACAGCTCTAATCTGAATAGATCCAAAGGCCACTTGACCTCTGGTGGGAAAGCCCCTCATGCTACACACCTGACTTTGTGTTATCTACATGCTTTCAAAAATATTAGCTTTACACTCATGTGTGTGTGCACATGTCCTAACTCATGCCTGTGGATACACATGCTCACTTGCACACTCATGCAGAGGTTAGATAACAACTTGTGACAATCACTTAACTCCTTCCACAGTGGTAGCTCTGGGGCACGAACTCAAAGTGGTCAGGCTTGGCAGCAAGTTCCTTTACCCACTGAGCCATTTCTCTGGCCTCTACCTGGATGCTTTTGGTGCATAGTGTTGACAAGATCAGCTAACAGTTTCCACAAAAGACAGAGTGGGCATGTGTGACTGGCCCCAGAAATGGAGCCCAGACGGAATTAGTCCCAAAGGAACAGAATTGTTATGCCAGAGGAAGGCCCGATCGATCTGAGAACTGGATGTGTGAATTCCCGTAATCATACCTTAAACCTCCTTTACCTCCACTGTGCAGTGACAAGGGAACACCATGCATTGATGCTTTCACTGGTTTGGACATCGTGCTTTCATACTTCGGTTTTGTTTTATAATTGCTTTCCCTTTGTGCCCAAGGTACCTAACAGCAAAAGTACTATTTTGTATGGAAAGCACATTGCTGCATTCCAGTATCTCAGTTAAATCTTACAGTAATGAAATGTAAACATTCTATTAGTCTCATTTTGTAGATGAGGAAACTAGGCTTTAGATGCTTAGAAAATTTTCCCAGGAGCATAGCAGGAGATGGCAGCATTTGCTATTAAGAGTCCTAGGAGCCTATTAGCTTCAGCGAGTTGCTAGACTCAGAAAAGCTTCCCTCTGTTGTCCATGTAGGCAACCCTGCCCTCCAGTAGTCCATGCTGAGTTTCTGTAAGCCCCAACCAGCATCTCTAAACATCTTTGCTTTGCACTTCTTCGGTTCTTGTTTGGGACCTGGGGAGGATGCCTGTGGATGGGTTTATCAGTTATGTAGTACTGAATTGAAGTCTTACTAAAATAAGCAGATATAGTAAGTTATGTCTATGTGCTGTGAAATAAAACAACCAGCTCTTTAAGCCATGGTGATCAGGGAGGAAAGGGCTTCAACACATCTGCTAGGTGTTCTAAGGACCCACTTACCTAGTCATCTCTCCAGTGTGTGGTTTCCTCATAGGAAAGGCCTCTGGATGCTGGCCTGCATGTGAAGTGGTGCTAGGACACCGGATAAACATTAATTATCCTTTAACTTGGTAAAACGTTACTCTGGCCATGAAGGTTCTAATTAATAAAATGCTAGTTCTCCGTTATTCATTGAAAATACTAGAGTGTGCCCTGTTGGAGGTTCCAGGCTGCTAGGAGCTTGAGGTACAGGTTCTATTTCTATGAAGAGGTCTAATTGTCTGTTTCTTACCTGCTTTATAGATCATCTCTGGGTGTTGTTTCCCGATGTCTGTATGGTGATCGCGTCAGAAATTGCTGTGGATATTGTAAAGCACGCCTTTATCACCAAATTCAATGACATCACTGCAGATGTATGTATTTCTAGCAATTCCTATTTAATGTTTCCTTGACTCATTATTATCATAAGGTAACCTTTGGTTTATTGTATTTATTATTAAAATCATACTGGATCTATTTTAAAATAGAACCATCAAAATATTTCCTATTTAGAAATTGGGTTTTGTTTTTTTCTGTGAATATAATCAGGTACCTAAGTCCTAGGAGACAAGCTGTACATTTTACTTGTGAACTCACTTGAGGAAGCTTTGGGGGATTTTCTTTATGTTGTAACCATTTTCTCTAGTACCTTTAGAACTAGCTCCTCGGCTATAAATCAGTATACAGGTACATGGAGGTGGAGAGTGTCATTGTCAGAGCCTCAGCCTTAGTTCCAAACAGAGACAGTTAGCTCAGCAGCTTCCTTGATTTTCTTGAGTTATATTTTTGACAATCATATTTGACAACTTATTTATTGTTCAGCGCAAAAGTGAATGCAGTACCAGTTGCAAAATCCTGTTTCTGGTTTTCTAAATGCTTGAAGCATGTTTCTGTCCTTTCAGCAAAGCAGAAATCAAAACTGAATTCACCATTTTCTCTCTTGGCTTTGTCAATACAGATGATTTTCTTTTTTGTAGGGTATTTTCTCAGTACCTGAAATTAAAGGTTTGATTCAGGTAGTTCATGCCATTTTTAGTGGGAATACAATTGTCATGCTCCCTAGAGGCTGCTACAATGGCTCTGATAAGGTCCAGCCCATTTCTGTCTCACTCACTATCAGCATCCTTTTTTGGAAGGGTGTTATTGTTGTGGTTAAATACACGGTTATAATACTTAACTGTGCACTCAAAATTCCAGAATTATTTTTTCGATATAGCACTGCTTAAAATGGCCACTTCTCCCTAAAGTCCAAACTCTGGGAACTGTAGTCATTGGCTGTTATTCCTCTTTAGAGCAAAGCCTTTAAAATGTAGCAGCTCAGGCCGGGCGGTGGTGGCGCACGCCTTTAATCCCAGCACTCGGGAGGCAGAGGCAGGCGGATTTCTGTGAGTTCGAGGCCAGCCTGGTCTCCAAAGCGAGTACCAGGAAAGGCGCAAAGCTACACAGAGAAACCCTGTCTCGAAAACCAAAAAAAAAAAAAAAAAATGTAGCAGCTCAGGGAAGCTAACCGTTTTCCTCAAGCTGTAGATGTCTGGTTGCTCATTAGCATCTTTCCCTGAGTAGGTAGGTGTGGAAGCCCATTTTCAGGTTCTTAGTGGCTTTACTCAGCAGGTCTTCATAGAGAGGATGATTGGACCACGGGCCTGAGTGCTGGTGTCTGAGGTGGTCTGCACTTGGCTATGCTGCGGGGAGGTCTTTTGCTCTACCACTTGGCGTTTCTATAAATACCTTAGGGCAGAGACAGTCAGGGCTCGTTGGAATAGGTTCCAGGCCTTCTTGGAGGCTATCCTGTATTTTCTATTTGTTTATCTTCATATTCTAAATCCTTCTATCTAATATTTCCTGCTACTCTCACTCAAGAAAACTCTGGGGAACTGTGGGGTTGGTGGGTAGCTGCCCCGCAGGTAGGAAGCATTTTTATCTACAAAGCCTAAACCTTTCCACTGTGTGTATGTTGTAGACTGCATCTTACCTTTTTTTTTTTTTTTTTTTTTTTTTTGCCTTCAGGTCTACAGTGAGTATAGAGCCAGCCTTGCATTTGACCTTGTCAGCAGCCGACAGAAAAATGTGAGCATTTCATTTAAAGGTGTTGTCTGAAATTATCTCCCTAGTGGTTAAATGTACTACAGATAAAACTATAGACTTGAACTTGTCTTTTTCTAGACATTAAATATTTATACAGCAATAACATTAAATGCTGTATGTTTCTGCAACATTTTAGCAATGATATAACTTCTTATTTGAAATGTGTGGTGACCACTTAGGTTCCTGCATCCTTCTGCTCAGTTATGGGGCAGGTGCTGCGTTCTCTTCAGTTTGTACCACACCTGTTCAGAGCTTCTGCTGATGAGTGAATGGTACTTTCTAGATGCTAATTAAACTGAGTGAGTCCTTTTCTCCATTCTCTGCAGGCATATACAGACTACAGTGACTCGGTAGCACGGAGAATGGGATTTATTCCTCTCCCGCTAGCTGTCTTAGTAAGTTTATGCTTTTCTGTTTTCATAATGAAATGACCATCATCATAAAACATCAGTATGTGTTATCAGTAAGTCTGTTTTCATAATGAGATGGCCATCATCATAAAACATCAGTATGTGTTATCAGTAAGTCTGTTTTCATAATGAGATGGCCATCATCATAAAACATCAGTATGTATTATCAGTAAGTCTGTTTCAACAGGTCTTTGTATTTCAAAAAATGGTAAGTAACCCAAAAGAAGTTTGTCTTAAATTCTAAATTCATTATTCCTTTGGATTTTGAGCTATCAGCAGAAAAGTGACATCATGGAGACTGCTTATCCAAATAGCTTTCCTAACAATGAGGTTATTCTTTTGCTTATCCATTGAGTAAAGAATTTTCTCTCTAATGGATACACCCGGAGGTGGGCATTGCTGTGTCTACTGGAGCATGGAGGTGGCTGCATAGCTCGTCCTGTTTCTAGCGGGCACTTTGATAGTGAGGTGCTAGGTGCCATCAATCCAGTGCTGGGAACATATGCTGAGGAAATAAACGCAGAATGCATAGTGAGTGGTGAGCAGGTCTGAGCCCTGCAGTGTGCTTACACCTTCTACCCTCCTGGATCCAGCATCTGAACGTGACCTGAAAGCAGCTGTGTGCAGGTCAGCTGACAAATGTACAAGAAAGCTGGAAGTCGTAGCAGCTGTATTTAGATTTTACCCCACGTTTTTAGATGGTGGGTGATGATAGGTTTCATGTTAAATTTCAACAACTTAACAGATAACCATACCCTAAACATGTTATGGTTTTAATTGCTTATGATATAGTAATACAAATTTCTTTTACTTCAGAAAAACAAATTTCGGAGAAACTTAGATTCTAAAGGTTATTTAGTAAAAGTTAAAGAAATTGAAAAAAATAGCATGTTGAATTTTTCTATGTGTATTTCCTGGTATTAGAAACATGATATATTCAGTCCTGAGGGTAAATCTAGATTGTGCAGCTGTTTTTTAATTAAAGGGTTAGTTGAATGGTAGTAGCAACCCTTTCTCTGCTAGAAGCCGTGGCACAGGTGAGGGCTCCATGGTGCTTTTCTCACAGTGAAACCAGATTGGACATGTGACAGCCCATCCCATGTCCCATTTCTGTTGTTCTTTTCGTGTGTAGCATTTTAATTCTATTGAAGGCATCACGATAGAATCTTAACATCACTGGGTGAGGCCAGTTATCGCTGCTTCGTTTTCATAGCTGCTCCCAGGACCTGGACCTGTAATGTGTAAATGTTTTCTCTCAGCTGCTCCCACCAGATTCATTCCACAGGCTTCCAGGGATAATACTTCTGTGTCTAGGTTTCTCTTTCATAAGAAGCTAGGTGTTAGCCCTGACTAACCAAAGAGACAGAGCCACATGGCTTTTGAGTGATTAATTGTGTGCTTAGTTTCTTAAACAACGTAAGTCTGCCTTTGCTCTATGTTCCCTGCAAGTTATTGGGGGCTCTTAAAGAATTTGAACAGTGACAGGAAAAGTGAAGAAAATGCCCAACCAGGATTATCTCTAGCAACAACTAGATGAGCTTCCTCAGACAGACCTTGTAGGTTGAGTTTCTGCACCTCTGCTAGATGTAAGTAAATCTCCATCGGTGAAGTGGGCCGCAGCAGACTTCTGAGAGTCTGTGGCAGCTGCCTGCGTGCTGGGGCTGCCTATGAAACCCAAGCCGGCAGAGATGCCGGAGGAGGCAGATTGGCAATGAACTGGAAAGTCTAGACCCAGCCTCCTGGACTTAGATGCAAGTATACTCTAAAATGTTAAAGTAAGAAAGAAAAAAATATTTTTTGAATATTAACTAATAACTCTATGGTTGTGTTTTGTCTGTGTGTTTTTGTGTTTTGGTTTGTTTCTGGCTAGCTCATCAGAGTTGTAACAAGCTCAATTAAAGTGCAAGGAATCCTGTCCTATGCCTGTGTCATACTCTTCTATTTTGGGTAAGATTGACTGTTCTTGATTATGTTTTGACTTTACAGTAAAGTGTGTATAACTGCAAGATGTAATAGAAGCTAATTGCACCCAAAAATATTTCTCCTCTTCTATGTGCTTAAGTTTGAATTGTTAACCAAAAGTTCTCAATAAGGTCTTTTTGTTCAAGATTTATATTCCACCCATACTTTATTTTGGGAGGAAAGTCTTTCATCGCATTCATTTTTTTCATATTTAGAAACACCTTTAATTTTCCTGTGTGCTTGCCAAGCTTAATATTCAGCACACTGGGCATGTGTCATATCCACCTAATAATGCCAACTGAATCTTCTGTGAATTTGTTGATCCCAACTAGCTTACATTTCTGGTTGGGAAACACAGGCAGGAGGTAAACAGTTGAGTTTATACTAATCATAAATGGTAATAAGAGAATGATGTTGTCAAATGTTATTTTGCCACTGTTTGATTTTTCAAGAAGTGAACTAAAATAGCCCTCCTGAGTTCTGATGACTTTGCCCAAAGGGAAATCTGGGAAACCCAGAGCTGAGCTGGCTTATGTGAGTGCATGGGCATAAGTGTTGGAGAATGCCATCTGTGGGACAGTACAGCCCTGAGCACCTCCAGAGGAAAAGGTTGTGGGCAGATAAGCAGAGCAGGAATGATTTCAGCCCTAACTTCCCACAGAGTCTGGTTTCCAAAGACATCTGTGATGGCCCAGCTTCATGTTTGAGTGTTCTGTATACCCTCCTGGTCCCATGTAATACCTGGCATGTGATGGGTATCCACATACTGCCTGGAACATGACAGGTACCCAAGACTGTCCAAACAGCTCAGACATGGTCACTCCTGTGGGCTGCACTTAAGATCCCTCACTCATTGTAAGTGCTTCCCAGTGCCTGTCTTAGCCCTCCTCCTTCAGAGCTGTGTCTGGGTGAGGTGACTAATTGCAGTGACACCAGAAATAACTCTGATTGAGTGCTGTGATTACAGGTGTGTACCACCATACTTGGTTTATGCTGTGCTGGACATTGAGTTCAGGGCTTTGTGCATGCTAAGTATATGCTCTGCTAACTGAACTACGTCTCCAGAACACACTTTTTTGTTGTTCTTGAGATAGGATCTCACTTAGCCCAGGCTGGCCTTGAGCTCACTACTCACCAAAGGCTGGTTGTGAACTCCTGTTTCTCCTTCCTTGAATATAGCATACTTGAAAACCCGTCACATGCCAGGTATTACATGGGACCAGGAGGGTATACAGAACACTCAAACATGAAGCTGGGCCATCACAGATGTCTTTGGAACCAGACTCTGTGGGAAGTTAGGGCCAAAATCATTCCTGCTCTGCTTATCTGCCCACAACCTTTTCCTCTGGAGGTGCTCAGGGCTGTACTGTCCCACAGATGGCATTCTCCAACACTTATGCCCATGCACTCACATAAGCCAGCTCAGCTCTGGGTTTCCCAGATTTCCCTTTGGGCAAAGTCATCAGAACTCAGTTTTGATGTGTGCTTGTCAGCTGTGGAGGGAAGATGTGACCAGCACGTCTTCCTCATCCATTCAGCAATCTTGGCTGCCAGGGTCCATGCTGTTCTAAGGGTCAGCCAAAAAAAAGACAAGACAAGTTCTGTCCCCCAGTGTCACTAGAATTGTAGTGTGCAAAGGGACTGACAGGAGACACATTCTGAAGAGATAGTTGTAGTAAGCATAGTGAGCAAAACTGTGGGTGTGGGGGGAGAGCTGGAGAGGGACGGGAAGACTGCTTCAGTTGTGAGCAGAAAGCCTGGTTGACCCAGGGAATACAGGGTATAAGCCTAGAGGGTGGGCTGTAAGAAGGTCGCTGACAGGGAGATAGCTCCAGATTCTCCCAGAAGGGCTTTTTGCAAGAGCCCTTCAACTCCTGTGTGGAGGACGGGCCGGCCGAGTGTAGCAGGAACAGTGAGTCAGGAAGCAGTGGCCCTGCCAGGAAAAGCTGCAAGGCTGCAATGCAAGTGCTAGTACTGGAGGGTTGCACTTGTCAGCTGCATGCACATGGCTTGTACAGGAAATACACAGGAACGGCTTCAAGTGTGGTTCGAGAACCTGGGCTTCAGCAGAGAAGGGAATAGAACAGTCACTTACCGTGATAGAAGCTTGTGGCAGAGGGAACATTTAGGAGTGGAGAGATGAGGGCCTGCGAAAAGGGTGATTGGAATCTAGAATCAGGGATTAGTTTGGTGAGTTTGGATTCTCTTAGGCAGAACCACAGAAGCAAGGAAGGAAGGAAGGAGTGAGGGAATGGTGCCGGGAGCCCCACAACTGGCAGTGGATTTGCACCTGTGGGGCTGTGGGACCATCTGTGCCGAGTTCTGAAACCCTGTGTGAAAGGCCTGAGGACCAGACAGGAATCCTCGTCTATTTTACATGTTGACTCACATGTTAAGCCGCTGGTGATTCTCACTGGCTTGTAATTCCGTGTTACTGACAGTGTTTCATCTCAGACACAAAAACAGCAACCTACTTGTTCACTCATGCTAAAGCTGTCAGTCACAGCCCACAGTATGTGAGAAGATATGAATGGGTGCTGCGATCTCTAAATCATTTTGCCAATTACAAACTTTTTAATAGAAGCAAAATGTTAGAAATAATCCAGATATCCAGAAATGGGAGCTATTACAAATGAGTTTTGTTCTGTAGCCCATACCACAAAGCATTCTTGAGATCACATAGGAACTTTAACTGACATGGAAGAACATTTGTACAATATATATATATATATATATATATATATATATATATATATACATATATATATATATGTATATATATATGTATATGTGTGTATATATATATATATATATATATATATATATATATATATATAATGTGTGTGTGTGGGAGGGGGTTACGTATGTAACAACAGCAGAGTAATAAGGAACAGACTTAACTTTCCTTTGTGCTGAGCATGGCTCTAAGCCTCTCCCAGTCCTCTCCTTTCTGATCAGTTGTGGAGGATTTTGCCTGGGTCCTTAAAGGACTCTACTCACACACTGAGCCCAGATTCCTCTTCTTGCTCCCACTTTGCCTCCACCACAACCTTGTAAATAGACCCCATTTCTACACAGTAAGAAGATACAGATGATGTACATAGAGCAAATGGCTGATAATATACTGGATACCACATAGGGAATTAGAAATTGTCTTTTATTTCTTGCTCATCTGCATCTACCTGTTTTATGGTAAAAGGATACATGTTGGATTATCTATACTAGGAAAGCTGCTGGCTGATAGAATTTCTCATGAATTAGAACATATCAGAAGTCTTCCTCTGTGATAAAGAACCTTGGGAAACTCAAGCTTTGTGCAGGGAACTCAGGTTCCACCAGCACAGGTCCTCTGACTCCTGGGACTATCCCCTCACCCTGGCCTGCATCTCAGAAGCAGGCTAAGAGGTCGGCTTGCATTGGTTTACATGAATTCCCACAACTCTGTTCTCTGTCTAAGGTTGATCTCCCTGAAAATACTTAATAGCATTGTGCTGTTGGGGAAGTCATGTCAATATGTGAAGGAAGCCAAAATGGAAGAGAAGCTGTTTAATCCTCCCCCAGCCAGCACTCCCGGGAAACCCTCCAGTAAATCCCAGAGCAAGTGCAAGTCCTCTCAAGGTATGTTGGCTCCAGAGTTCATCTTCTGAATTCTTCCTAGTAAATCAGTACTCAGCCATGGTGAAATGATGCTTAGAGATGCGCTTCATTCTACCTCACTGTTGGGTCCTTGAAGAGTTCTGTTCTAGGACAGAACCGCATCTGGACTGTTGGGAGGAGAGGAAGAACAGTAAGTAGAGCGTGTGTCAGGCCGCAGTGAGTGCTGTCAGGGACAGGAAGCGCTGCACACACAGCCAGTGAAAGGACTTTGGTGTTGGAAGAATAACGGGACTGATGTCCCTCCCCAGAACCCAGGGGCCTGTCACTCTCCAGAGGTCATTGCCTTAGACTTGAAAGGGAGAGGAGGCCAGTGCATCCAGACAGGGACCAGCTATGCTGGAGATGGTAAAGCTGGTTCCAGACAGAGCAAAGGAGACCAGCTGCTCCAGGGTATGAACCCAGGTCATTCTCCTGTGGGTCTTCTCAGAAGCTAAAGTGGGAGCTAAGGTTTTAGATGGTAGTCACTGTAAGAACGTGTGAGTGCTGTTTGTTCGTGATGCGAAAGATCAAAAGTGCATCAGCATGTGTCCTCTGACTTACATGAAGAAGTTAGTAAATGTGGAACCGGTCTAATGGAGGATGGCCATCAGATGAAGGGTCATGTCAGGTCACACACAGGTTACATGCATGTAAGAGGAGTGTCTGTGAAGGATGCCCTAGAGGTCAAGAGACTGCAAGCTAGAGATGATTCAGGAGGTTGTTGAAGTCAGGCCCTGAAGAGGGTAGAAGTCAACACTGAAGACAGTGTTAGCTCTTCACCTTCTCAGAGTCACAGAAGACTGCAGGGTCTCAGCAGGACTGCACACGTGGCAGAACCATCAGGTTGCATGTTAGTGGCAGTTTATGTACAGCTCACTCTGGTTTAAAGCTTCCTTAAAAAGATCAAATTGGGGGGGCGGTGGTTGAATGGAGTTGAGGATGTTAGCTGAGTGGTTGAGCATTTAACCTAGCAAGCATGAAGCCCTGGGTCCAGGCCCCAGCACCTTGGGGCAGGAAATGGAGACGGAAAGGGGAAGGGAGTGAATTTATAACTCAGAGGTCAGTGGGTCCCAGTCTCACTCAGCTGCCTCCAAGGCCAGCCTCCTAGATTCCTGGGCTGGGGCGAGGGGCTGGGGCCTTCCTTCAGAAGTGGCCTTCCTGCAAGTGGTCTGAGACTAGCTGAAGTGTACAGACAGGAGATGGAGCACCTTCAAGTCTACTTAGCCCTTCCAGAGGGAGTCCTGAGTGCAGAGCAAGGGCTGTTTTCCACTCAAGCCATGGTTTGAGGGCATAAGAGGGAACTGTAAAGACAGAGAGAGGATCTTTCCAGAATCAAGTGGTAGTGTTACCTATGGGGGTGGGTAAAATTTTGGATGAACAGAGTATGACTAGCCCCTGAATTTTATTATAAATTACAGCGTACACAGTATGCTTTTAGTTTTCATTTGTTTTATCTAAGAGGAAAGAATGGATACTTTTCATCACCCCTGAAAACATGGTGTTTGATAAGTATTTACTGTAACCAAAGGGAAATGGTTTCCTAATCCATTGGATCTGCTTTCCCACAGGCCTTTCCACGGAAGAAAACCTGTCCACTTCCATCACCAGCCAGCCTGTTCATCAGAAAGAAAACGTCATACCCTTACTTGTGACCAGCAATTCTGATCAGTTTCTGACAACCCCAGATGGCGATGAGAAGGACATAACACAGGAAAATTCTGAATTAAAACACAGATCCTCAAAGAAAGATTTGCTAGAGATAGACAGGTTCACAATCTGTGGGAACCGGATTGACTGAGTTTGTAGCCAATGAGGTGAAGATGCCGGGCCCTGGGACCACAGATGCTGGTCTGCCAGGACACACTTGCTAAAAATGGCACTTAAATATTTATTTAAAAACTTAAATTATTAATGGCAAGCAAATCTTAGTATCTTTCCTCCAGTACTGTGGCCTGGCAGAAGGGCAGACCACGGGACAGCGCCGGCCTCTGGCCTTGACTCTGGGATGCTGGTGGAGGGTGAACATTTCCTCCTGCTTGGCCAACAGCAGCAGCACTTCCGGCACCCAGCCAGAGCACTGCAAGAGTTCCTATGCGTTGTCAGCCTGGGCTTCCAGAATGTTGGATTTTCCTCCAAGCCTCTTCAGTATAAGGACATACCTGGGAAACTGTGAAGCTTTTACCATGAATACCTTTCTAGTCTCATACAGTTTTCACAAACTCTTTCCAAACTTGACTCCATCTGCCAAAGCATTAAAAAAAATTATTAAATATAAGTCCAGATAAATGTTCTTACCACCAGAGTCATACTTGGCAATACATCTAAACTAAGCAAAATAAAAGGCTACTTAAACACATGATGACTAACAGCATCTTAGAGGAAACAGAGCTCTCGGCCCTTTCATTCTCTTACTTCATGAAGGTCATGTGTCACTGAGAAATGCTTCCTGCTCTCTCAGTTACTCTCAGCAGTGTGAACTGTGTGGTTCTTAATGGCAGTGACCCAGTAAAAGGCAGTTACAGTGAGGGCACAGAGCAATGTCAACTGTAGACATTTTCTCCAGTTTCACTTTAAAGCTGCATCAGTTATTACAAGTCAGTAGATTTGGTGTTGAATTGTTGAAAAGCTGTTGATATACAAAATCAAAGTGGTTGCCATCGACAGGCTGGTTTGTTGGTTTTAGTTTTGTTTTGAGTAGCAGTTTTAAAGTGTTCACAGCGGGTTGAGCAGCGTCACCTTGCCGGGCTTGTAGACTGCACATGTCCTTCCATTGCTCTGTGTTCTGTGTGGGAAAGGGAGAGTGGGTGCCTTTGCTGGGAGAGTCCCTCCATGACTGTAAAAGGGTGTTTCAGATACAAGAGGATACTACAGTTGGATACTGGGAATAGCAACCCAAAGGGTGCTTTGGGGTTTTTCTTTGAGATAAAGATGCTGTTCCTGCTTCATTACTAGTTGGTGGCATCCAGGGGCAAGTTCTCACCACCCCATTTTTATCCTGAGAACCTTTTCTGCACTTCTCTTAAAAGAAAATTGACCGTATCTGATTTCTGAACTATCTGGAAGATGGTACTCTTAACTGATTTCCTTTGCTGTACCACTTATGAAACTCGGCTCTTATTCAAACATTTTGGGCACAGATGGCAAGTTTTAGATGGTTTTCCTGTATCCTGGATAAATGTAAAACTAGTTTTGATGCTTTGGCTTATGCACTTGAAATAAAGGAGAGTTTCTAATGATTTGCACTAACAGAATCTAAAGATAGCTGTTGGAAATGATATATATGCCTTGTGAAACCAGGAAGCAGTTTTAAGTTTAAAATGAACATTTTCATTCTTTGGTGTATGTTTGTTTCAGTGGGGCCCCATTTTTAAACTATTCTTTTTACCAACAAGAAAGTGTCCATTTCAGCTAGGAGCAGTGTGGAGAAAGCTCTGCCAAACTCAGCCCTCTCAGAACAAGAACATGGCCTAGATGTCTCCTCAGTTCCGCTTGAATTTTCTGTTTCTGTGTTGTTTTCTGAAGAATGCATTTCCTTTGCAGATGCTAGTGGGAGTGGGGATAACACTCACTTCTGTCCTAACGGCATTCAGTACTAATTTTATAAGTGCATCTTGTGTGAAACTCAATAAATTCAATTTTGTAATCTTTTTTAAAAAGGTCAATGAATTTCTTTTAGTAACAATTACTATTATATTTGATGGAATGGATGTCTCATTGTGTAAAACTTATTTCTAGTTTACAAATACTAGGGCTGTGTTAATTATGTTTAGTTACTCTTGTCCTAAATGATTAAAAAAAAGTTGCGATTTTATTTTTTGAAGAATAGCCTGCATGTTGATCATAGACCATTTAGTATCTTTCTACATGAAGATGTTTGCATTTAACAGGGATCTTGATGTCACAGTGTCAGTATGTACTTGTCTTATATGAGAATCACATTCAAGACGGTACTTTGGTTTTTAAATAGTCTAGTTAAGGTGCGACATATGTCAGACCCATTTTAGCTTTTCCTGTAGATCAAAGTACCAAACGCTATTGATGAATTTACCCTGGCTCCCTGTGTGGTCTTGTGCAGGCATTTGAAAGAAGCATGTTAGAACTGACTCCTCAGCATCTGCCCTGCCACATCTGTAGCATCTGTCCTACCACATCTGTTAGCAGCTGCCCTGCCACATCCGTTAGCTCAGCAGAGATAAGTTCACGTTTGTTTTAAATTACTGTATTTTCATATGTCTCAGATCTGTGTGTGTGTGTGTGTGTGTTTTGTTTTTTTGTTTTTTTACATGTCTGCTGGCTACAGCTGGCCAGTGACCAAGTGCCCAGTCAGGCTTATGGCAGCCAAGGATAGCAAAGTTGACGTTGTGGCATCAAGCTGCTCTTTCCCTGTTCCTTCTACTTAAGGTCATCTGATGGCAGTTTCCCAGAGAGAGAGAGAGCCAGAACCTGGCCTTCCTGCATGTTGTGTAGAGGACTAGCAAGCTTCATGGTATGAGCCCAAGCACCAAAGGCAGATGCGATGCAGGAGAAGGGAATATGCCATTTTCAAGTCGACACACACAGTGCTGCGAGTCCCCTTCACGTCTGTCCCCTCCTGCCAGCTGGTACCCAGCAAAGCGGATGGCTGGCCCCAACCGTCGGTTTGTTGCACCACACCCCGGAGTGGCAGGGTCATGATGAAGGAACTGAGGCCCAGGATGCCTCTGAAAAGCAAAATTGCTGATCAGCTTAGAAAAATCAGGCTGTCTTGAAAGGGAAACATGCTCAGGAAAGGCCTCTGTTCTCAGCCTGGGATGGGCAGGTCTGTGCTGCCACAAGTCCAAGAAGATCTGTTAAGACAGCATTAGGTAACAGGAAGTGAGAGTCAGACTTATCTCTGAAACTCAGGCTCCTGAAACACTCCCTGCAGGTCCCCTGTTCACTGTGAGTTGTCAGTAGGGGAAACAGTAAGGCTCATTACTCCCCACATTTTCAGAGATGATGCCTTGCATGCCTTGTTATTGAGCAGGTACTTCTTGCCCCTTATCTCAGAAAAGTGTGTACAAGAAGCCAGCAAGAGGGCTCAGAGAGCAAAGGCACTTGCCACCAAGTCCGACAACATGAGTTCGATCCCCAGAACCCACATTGTGGAAGAAGAGAAACAATTTGCACAAGTTGTTCTCTGACTTACTTACACAGAAGCATGCCCATGCACACAAAATAAAGTTCAGAAAAGCTACTGGGAAGTACAGCCTAACTGCAAGAAGTAGAAAGAAAATTAATGAGCCAAAAGAGCAATGAAAATCTCGAGATCAAGGATACCATTCCAGTGTTTGTTGAAGTTAGCCCTGTGGTACAGTTCAGTGTGGTATGTGGTATTCATTAAATGCCTCAGACATCCAGGACGGTTTAGAGCAGTGGTTATCAACCTTCCTAATGCTTCGATCCTTTAATACAGCTCATGTTGTGGTGACCTCCAACCATATAATTATTTTTGTTGCTTCTTCATAACTAATTTTGCTGCTGTTATCAATCATAATGTAAATATCTGATGTGCAGGATATCTGATATGTGACCCCTGTGAAAGGGTCGTTTGACCCTCAAAGGAGTCGTGACCTACAGGTTGAGAGCCACTGGCTTAGTGTTTTCCTGTAAAACACCTAAGCAGGGAAGGAGTGTCAGTGACGGGGAGGAGTTCCTCAGAAGAAATGGGTGCAGTGAGGAGGTTTTAGTGATCCCCAAACATTTGCTTCACAGGTAGGGAACTGAATGCCCAGGGTTACTGAGCAAGCAAGGCATCTAAACTTCAATAAGAAAAGGAACTATGAGCGGGGTAGTGAGAGGCAGGGCTTTCTGCTGTCTGGTGAGGCCACACTTGAGATGTAGCTGAAGTCATGAAAAAGAAGAGTGGGCATCAATCTGTAGAATTTTGCTTTGAACATAGAATCTCATCTAGCAGTAAGGAAACCAGGCAGTTTGTGAGGGTACACCTGGCTGTGTCTGTGTGTGGTGTGCATGCATGTGCATGTGGGTGTTCTGTGTAGGAGTGCACATGTATGCTGGTATGCATCTGTGTGGAAGGCTGAAGCTGATGTCCACTTAATTCATTGAGGTGGGGTCTCTCACTAAGCTAGCCAGCTAGCTGACATCTTTTTTAAGGAATTAGATTAGGAATGCAAAACAAACTTGCAGAGTGATCAAGGTGCAAAGTGGATAGCAAATGTGTAGACAGCAATTATTCTGAATAAGTATATTCCTGTTTTAACTATGTCTACATAGGAATATAAATACTGGGAAGATTAGAGATGTGTGCCACGTTAGAGTTAACCAGAACAGGGAAATGCAGACAGGAAAACACATAGGCATCCATTTCCCAGTCCCTTTGAGGCACGAAAATGAAAAAGTTATGCTGTATACTCATGGGAGGATATTGTCTAGTGGGTGTGGGAGGTACCAGCTAAATGCACACAGTGGCAAGTGTTCCTGTCGCACAGGCACTGGTCACAGAAGACCACCTTCTTCAGACAGGCTCGGCCACATTGAGTGCTGCAGCCCTAGCACACTTGGCTCCTGACCGAGGTGGCGAGAAGTATTTGTTGGGAGAACTAAAAAGGAGCCAGATGTGCACTTAGGGTGCTTGAAAGAATAGGACTTAGGGTAAGGAGGGGGGGCATGGGGCAGTTGTCACTGGAGGAGGAAGAGCACACAGTACGTCTGCATGACAGCCTCAGCCCCTCCACACACACACACACACACACACACACACACACACACACACACACACACACACACACGCACACACACACACACACACTGTGCCTGTTGAGAGCCAGCCTCTGCTGAGAGCACAAAGAGGGGGCTCCAGATGGAGACAAGACTTGAGAGCTCTTAATGCCTTGCTGAGGATCCTGCACCTGACCCCGGGTGCAGGATGGGGAGAGGGGAGCTCGTGTGGGATTTTAAACTGGGTTGTTATACATAGGATAGGTGAAGAGGCTGCTTTGTAAATTATAGAGCATTGTTATTGGATTAATCTGTTCAAGGCAGGCTGCTGGCCTTCTGAAGGACTGGTACCTAATAGCTTTTGGAGTTTTTTGTGTAAAGGCACAGTGCTGTTACCACACCACTTCATTCATTTTCATCCCCCTATGGAGTGCATGCTGTTGTCCTGTCCTACCACTAGAAACAACCTAGAAAGGAAGAGTCATGTGTGCCCACCACACAGGTAGCAGAGCAGAACATTAAGGCCCTTGCTGCAGTCCTGACCTGTGCCAACAGCAAGAGAAGAACTGGGGAAAGGAGATCCTGTAAGGAGGCCATTGGGGCTATTCACACCAGAGTAAGAACCAGAGAAGTTAAGATACGGTTGGTCCAGGGACCTAGTTCAGCTGCCATGGGATCAGGGAGGCTTGAGAGTTAGCTGTGTGGGATGCAATGGGCTCACACAGACCTGGGGTCACGTTAGGGCAGTGCCAAGACTCCAGACTGTCCTGAAGGTACCTTCCAATATCCTTTGGTGATCCAGACCTAGACAGAGGATTCTGAACCCAGACTTGGTTCATTTGTTTTAGTGCTGACACCAGCTGGTAGGCAAAGCTGATTTTCTTTCTCATTGGATGATCACGTGATGAACCCTCTTCAAATCTGTCACTCTACAGGAGTGACTCCCAGAGTCAGACTGGCCTTGCTCATGGGCCCTCGGTGGAAGACAAGCATTTCTATGAGATCAAGGAAGGGGACCTGGGTCTGTGAACCCCATGCAGAGCACTATAATGAGCTGAGCACTCTCCTGTGGGGGCAGGACAGGTTCCTAAAGCCTTGGTGAGATGATAGAAAGCTGTGCCAGTTCAGATTCCACCCAGCATGGGCAACTGGCTATCATTGTCTACCTCAGTCATACATGCAAAGGTTTACTTTGGCTTCAATTATACATGTTCCAGTCCATGGTCAATTGTCCCTGTTGCTTACCTAACAGCCAGAGAGCAAAAACCCAGAGAACAGGGTATGTGAGTCTCACAGTCCCTTTCCGGGGCCTGTCTCCAAAATACTCAGCACCTCCCACAAAGCCGCACATTCTGCAGGTCCCCTCAACAGCACCAGCTGGGGACCAAAGCTTTGACACACAGGCCTTTGAGGGATGTTTATGAGTCAGAGTATAGCACCATATGGAATTGAAGAACACAAAAGAATGTAGCCTTCCTTCCCTCGCAATCACAATGGCCATAAAAACACGATTCATTTTGCCTTCAAACATAAGCTTAGAGATGATGTGAGCTTTGAGCTGATGGAAGTTCACCATTAAAGTGGCTCTAACAAGGCATTCAACCTCGTCCCCCAAGTGAATGTCTCCTCAGTACCTCTGATCAGTTGCCATCTAGCTTTGTCTTGCAGTATTAACAATGATGTTTAAACCAATACTTACTGAACTTCTACCACAGGCCACCATGCAAAGCTCCTTTAATGCATTCCCTCATTCGATCTGCACTATGTCTCTGCAAAGCCCCCATTTTGCAGATGTGGAAGCTGAGGTAAAGAAAGCACTTTTCTCAACTAAGCTACAGAGGTAGGGGGCCAAGATTTCACAGGGTCCGTCTGCTTACAGAGTGGGCTTCAGACCACCTTAGGACAGCCCTGGGCAAGAGTCTGTGTGAGAACTGTCCCCAGTACACAC